AATCAAATCTGCTATGAATAACTGCTTTCCCTGCTCTGTGGGCTCTATCAAACATTCGATGTCAGCAAACACCATGAGAGGTGGTAGCTTCTTTTCCTCGTCATCATCATCATCATCGTCGTGTTCCTCATCATCTACCTCTTTAATACGTTGGATGTAACTTTTGTGATTGTATATTTCAACAAATTCATGGCAGTAACGGCAATTGTCATGGTAGCATTTGTGTGGCTTCTTTGGATTGACTATATAACCTTTACAGCATTTTAAACACTTTTTTAGCTTCTGACAAAGACTCACTTTTTTCTTGCCTTTTGTTTCTTTATGAGTTTTGAAACAGTCTGAACCATAGAAATCCCGCTTGCAGTCTTTACAGTGAATGGTTGTCTTTTTTCCTGGGGAAAAATCTGGGCAGCCACCATTATTTTTCTGAGAACGTGTGCGCTGACAACTACTGCAATTACGACCACTACAAGAATGGCTTGCTGTGTCATCTGTATTGAACCCTTTACAGCAATCAGGGCAGAAGTAGGATCGATTCAGAAAGGCGAGCATGCTTCGTAAGCCATTGTAATGTTTGTCGTGTTTAAGCAAATAAATGACTTCGCTATACTGATCCACATTGCCTTGAAAAATACAGGCACAAGATACCTAATCTACCACGATGATTTTGTAGCCTTGGGGTCCTAGAAACGCTTGAAAATTTTCTAGTTCGTCATAGCCACAGGGTCCCTCAGGTACAATTGCATCTTGGTGAAGCTGCTTGGCTAGGCGTTCTTGAATGGGTCTGCCATCACGTAGATTTCTATATTGTTTGTCTGGGTCTCCATCCACGTACTCTTTCATCGTTACGAGGGCACGGGCACAACATAAATTATCTGTGTTTTTGATCTTGATCATACAATTTGTCTTTTTGTGCATCAAATCAAACGGCAATCTGCTTGGATTTTTAGAAGCCGGACCTTTACCACCTTTTTCAGGGTAGGTAATAAACGTGAGAGTTGCATTGAACCCAATCGCTGGATTCATATTTTGAGCACTGTTCATTTTACGGGCGAGTGACTCAAACATAGCGTGAACATAATCGCCACGTTTCACGAACTCTTTGACGGGAATCCCATATTTTACGTGAGATAAAAATCCTGAATTCAAAGTGCCATTGGAATGTTCCTTTGAGGTTAAAGTGAGATGGACATTAGTTGAATACGGCAGTTTTTCCTTTAAGATCATATCTCTTCCCGCTTCAAAAAGAGACTCGGACAACCCATCTCCCAAAGATTCCTCTTCGGTGGCTTTACGTAGCTGATCAAACGTGACGGAAAATTGCTCTTTTTTGACTGCTCCCTTTAAACCTTGCCGTTTGTATGGTAGAAACATGAGATTGGCTTTGAACAAAGGATTCTCAGACAGTTCCAAACGGTTGCTCTCTCTACCAAAAAATCATCCAGGCCGTCGTCCATGAGGTGAGACATATCAACATCGTCTTCATCGTCCAATTTTCTTTTGACTGCCTGTGGCTCTTCTTTTTTCACAGGGTTTAGGTCCTTCTTCTCACTGTCAAGGTCTTTTTTCATGCGTCTAGTAGTCACAGCCCCACCTGTCTGACTTTCAATCGATAAATGGGGTACTTTGTCTGCATGTAATAACTCCATCCTCGCTAATTCACTGCTTTCTTCTGCTTTTCTCTTAGCTTTTTCAGAATGGAAGTGTTTGTTATGTTTTGACAGATCATCTTTTCTTTTAAAAGTTGATTCACAATACGGGCATGGAATAGGGACTGTTGTCTTCCCGCAATATTTCCTATGACGTGAATAGGAACTTCTATTCTTGAGTTTCTTTCCGCAGGTAGGGCATGGTCTTGGACAAGTAAAAACCATTATGGATGAGTTCAGCTCACTACAAATGATGTGGGGTTGAATGAAAAAATGAGAGTTGCTAGCGGTCTTTTATACCTACTCTAGTCAAAAGATTGACGTCATGATCTAAAAATAGAAACAAATTCTGCTGAGTCAGCAAATCCTTGTGTGGAAACGTGCAAGTTGTCATGACCCTAGAGATTGGACCTTGGACTCTACTGATTGTTAGGTTGAGACGTTCAACTCGACCGATGTAGCGTTCAACACGGCCCTCGACTGATTAGGGTTGGGAAAATGCCTTCGATTTGTTAGGGTTAAACACTGCCCTCGACTGATTAGGGTTAGAAAAGTACCTTCGATTTGTTAGGGTTAAACACTGCCCTCGACTGATTAGGGTTAGAAAAACGCCTTCGATTTGTTGGGGTTAAACACTGCCCTCGACTAATTAGGGTTAGAAATACGCCTTCGATTTGTTAGGGTTAAAAACTGCCCTCGACTGATTAGGGTTAGAAAAATGCCTTCGATTTGTTAGGGTTAAACACTGCCCTCGTCTGATTAGGGTTAAACACTGCCCTAGACTGATTAGGGTTAGAAAAATGCCTTCGACTGATTAGGTTTAAACACTGCCCTTGTCTGATTAGGGTTAAACACTGCCCTCGACTGATTAGGGTAAGACCCTCCGCCCCAAATTTCTTCATCGCCTTTTCCTTAGCAACAACTAGCGTTCTTAGTTACAGATGTTGCCTTTAGGGTGTCCGCTGTATACCGTCATCACTCCAAAATTTAGAAGGCTTTGTATGGCGACCAACCTCATTTGCATAACAATAGTGCGTAAACAGACCTGTACTACTGCTAACATACACTTCTATGGTCAGAGGAGATGCTTTCATGCACAGAAAAACCTTTGGGGTTAGATAGATTGTGTGTAAGACGGAAAATCCCCAGGAGTCTTCTTCGGCACAACTCCTTGGGGAGAAATGCGGAAAGGGTGAAAGGGATGAGCAATGAAAGGACCAGGCAAACGGCCGGCATCAAGTTCCTTTTTTATTTTGATATCCACAACATCAGGATTTTCCAAGGCCAAAATTAAATTTTTGGCATCTGATGACTCACGTAAACCATCGTAGTGTATAGCAAAACCTTCGCTAAAACCTACCAGAAAGAAGGAATACCAACCTTTCCGCATTTATGGGTGTTGGCAAGTTAAGGCTTTGAGGGTTGGGACTTGGCAGGAAGGATTGTTTCCCAGTGTTTTTTGCTTTGGGAACGAAAATTACAATGACTGGCTTTTTGAGGGCCTTCGAATTTGTAACATAAATGCTTAAAAGCACAACCAGGGACACACTGGGCACCTCCATGAAATTTGAAACAAAAACCTTTAGGAATACCTTGCTCATGAGATCTTAGACACCCTGGAAGTATTTGTGGCTTACCCGAAGTAGAGTGTTGAGTGCGCATCCACAGCTCCCAGTGGATGTTACACCAACGAAAGGAGGAGGGCTGCGCTTGTCTCAAAAGACAAAAATTTTCATCGTAAAAGCACCAGTAAAAACCACTTGCTGCCAAATCCTGGATCACCCCACAATACTTCATGAGAGCCGGCGCCTCGTGAGGGTGTTGTCTAGTGTATATTGCAATAAAAATATGGAAGCAACTTAACCAGGTTTCAATGGTAAACATTTTCCTTGATTTGACTATGGGCTCCAGATATAAAGAGGGCAACTGCTCAGCAGTTGTCCTAGCTAAAGTAACTTGGTATCGACTTTCATGCACTGTATTAGTCAGTAGGGCTCTCAACTCAAAATACTCATTGTTCCATATCTTGGCCTTAAGCTTGTCAGATACTCTGGAATCTATTGGAGGGCTGGGCGATGAGAACAATTGAGAGGGGACTGCAGGATTAATAGGATGCATCTCACCTGACAAGGAGGGCTGAGCAGCATCTAAAGGTCCTTGCACAATGGTAGCAACCAGACCCTCACTGGAAACAGCATTGAGTACTGGAGCGTCTGTGGGTGCCCCAACGGGTACCTCGAGCAAACTTGAGGTGGAAGGTGTGGCCAAGGCAAGTGAGGGACCATGACTGGAGAAGGGGGCTGCATCGCTTATGCCTGGTGGCAAGGAAGACCCACTATGGCTAACCTCAGGGGGAGAAAGACGTTGGGTCACCTCCTTTACAATCCAAGACACCAATTGGTCCATGAGGTCAGGCGGTAAATGTGAGGAGCTAGGCTGTTGATCTGTCCATTGCTCAACATTAGTAGCCAAGGCAGGATGGGATGAATCTCTTGACTTCTGACGAGTGGGCTCGGTTGCTGCAGCCACAGTAATAGCTTCTGATGAAGTGGCGTGAGTTCTCTTTGAATGTCTAGGAGACATAGCTGATCTAAAACGAAAAAACAAATAACTGGACAGCAACGCCCGAACAAAACAAACAGCTAACAAATTAAGATAGCATTTGATAGCATTTCCAACCAGGAGAAGGCCACAATAAACATCCAAAGAAATCAGTGGACGAATCCACAACAGATCCAACAGACAAATCTGTAATATTAAATCAAACAATGGTGACGGAAAAAGTTGACATACATAAGTCAATATGTTGGCTCCCTATCAATGTCAAAATTGAAAAGGTGGACGAATCCACAATTTAAATGGCGTGCGAATCCGCTTAAAAAAATTTGACGAATTCACATCAAAGCAGTGGACAAATTCACAAAATTAAAAATAAATCAAATGGCAAGGGAAAACTGACTGACATAAGCTGAGGTTTAAGCTCCCTGTCAATGCCAAGCATGAAGGGGGTGGGCGGATCTACCATGGAAACAGTGAACGGATCCACGAAAATAAAATTATGAACATGTGAACAGCATAAAAACAGTAGACTAGGAAAGTAATATATAGGAGCACCATGCGTAAAAATGGTTAGGGATGACAAATTTTAGATGGTACGAGCTGTAAGGATGTGAAAAGCATGCAAAATGGCGCCCCTGTAACTTCAATACAAGAGGTATTGACCGGCTGGATTAAGATGGACGCCATCCGGTAAACACAAATCTTTGCGAGGGTGAGAAAAAGACTGATGGGTCCAGCAAAAAGCTTGAGGAATCGAATCTAAAACAACCTCCAAATACTGTTTTAGGAGGAGGGCTTGGCAGGCGGACAATGGAGCCTCAGAGGAAGATGCACCACGAGGTATGACTTGGCAAACTACACAAACAGAATAACTTTCCAAAAGCAAATGCACCAAGTCCTTGATTTCGGAGCCGACGACCTCAGGGCTCAGGTTGACGAGATTGTTAGTACCAACCTGAAGGATCACGAAATCGGGTGCTGTCTTGCACAACCAACAGCTCAAAAGCTCTGATTTTCACGACTTTTTGTTTTTTCATTTGTTTTTTTAAATTTTTTTTAAAAATTTTTAATGATGTACTAGTGAGCAGCACACTTACACTTCCAGTGAACATTTTCACTTAGAAGAAGGAGAAACCATGCTCGCCCGGGGCAACAAAAATTTTCGTACCCCGGGCGAGAATCGAACTCGCAACATTCCGAATACTAGATCGGGCATTCTAACCACTGAACCACCAGGGCTCTAGAGTTAGTCAAGTCGGAATTCTACTATACCAGCAGAGTACTACACTTCTGTACTGGGAGCTGAATGCATTGCACTTCTATGCTCAGTTTCTCGTGTGGCTTCTGCTAGTTTCAGTGAAGTAATTTTTAATGATGTACTAGTGAGAAGCACACTTACACTTCCAGGGAACATTTTCACTGGGAAAAAGGAGAAACCATGCAATCGAACTCACGACCTTCCGCACACTAGATCGGACGTTCTAACCACTGAACCACCAGGGCTCTAGCGTTAGTGAAGTCGGAATTCAACTATACCAGCAGAGTGTACTACACATATCTTTAGCTTTAAACGGACAAAAGTTGACCTTTTTGTCATAAACGATTTTTTCATCTGGAAACTATTTACTTCTGCTCTTTAATCATTGACAAAACGACCCAAACCAGCTGAGAATGTTGCATCATTACTAAAATGTTTTACAGACATTAACTACAGTTAACTCATGATTAGATAGAGCTGCAATGCCGTTCTAAGGTCCAGGAACATCTGCAGATATACTTCATTACAAATACCATAAGCCTCTTTTTTAATGGAGAAAGTCATTCCATAATACACCATTGTTTATTCATGTTTTTTTTTTTCAAGATTAAAAACCCTGACCAAAATTTCAGCCTTTATTAGTGTTTTTTGATGATAGGAAATCTACCTTTTCTCCTCGAAAATATAAACTGTTTTTTGAAGACTCAATTTTGAACAGCCTATATGCCTATAAGTGACATGTTTCCTTCCTTTAAAGGTTTTTCGTGGGCTTACAGTGCATACTCTTCATTGAAAAGAACCTGTTGTCGAAATTTATTGACCTTTCAGCACCAAATCTGAACAGTGACAATCAGTACTGTATACAATTTTTACATAAGCAAACATTCATGTCATGAGAAAACAGGAAACGTTTAGCAAAGATAAACAATTTCTCTTCACTACATGTGACCTGAAGAAATAACCACTATCACCGTGGCCTGTTTAAAGTTTGGATAAGTAATTGCAAAGCATTGGGAGAGATTTTTCTCCTGGAATAAACGTTTTTATGTTTTTGGTTGCAAAAAGAACTCACTTCTTTAATATTAGTGCTAAGTCAGTCAAAGAGGTAGTGAGAATAAAGTATGTGATTCCCCTTGATAAAAAAATCTCCCTTAATATCTTGACAACTTCCTTCTTCGCATGAGGACAAAAGGAGAATCGTTACTTTGATATCGGGAATTAAAGGGTTAAATGATACTGGACTTCATTACCCTCGTGCACGCAAGTGTGTCTGTTGAATACCTTACTAGCAGTGTGGATTAAATTGCTGTCTTACAATGATAGAAAAACGTTATGAAGTATAATTGCTAAATATATGAATCTTACAACTACGAAAATATATAAAATCTTAGACTAACTATAAATTGTCAAAAATACTTTCACATTTGTTTATAAAAGTATCACGGCAACTATTGGTCTTGCATGGCTTTACACAGTATGATGTAGAGTTCCTGAGGTCACTAGAGGATCCCTCGTTGAATGGTATGAGAGGGTGCAAAACATTAAGGGGATTTTCTACAACTTTGTCAAAAAGTTTATCACAGAGCTCTCTCTTTTGCTGTAAAGTACCAAGACCTGAACGTGACAGGGCATCTGAGTAGTGCACTTCTTCAGGTGGTTATTGTGCACTCTTTAGTTGCACTAAGCGTTTGGCAGCTTTTTTTTGCATTTCTGTTACAGGAGAATTGCACTTAATGTCTCCTTGAATATAGAAGCCTAATAGGTTAACTGCCTGTACTGTATTAATCTTACAACCATCGATTTCAACGAATTCTTGATTTGTCAGAGCATGCGAAGGTTATTCTTAGTTCATTGCATTGACTGGGGTGGAGTTGGAACTTGTTCTTGGCAGACAATGTAGGCACTTCACCAAGGATAGGCTTATCATGACTAGTCCATTTTTTCTCCACTGTCTTGTAGGCAGTTGTGTTGTCTAGGTACTTGAAAAGACTGCTCAAAGTATCTGCCTTGAGATCGTTTAGCATTACGAGAAACAGCCAGTGGTTCAGTTTGGTTCCTTATGGTTCCCCTGCACAAACCAAACGCCATTCGGAGAAGCAGTTGTTTGCTAGTTTGACTCTTTGCTGCCCTTTTGAAGAGAAAGCTGCAATCCAGTTTATGATGTAAGGATTAATATCATTTTAGAAAAGGTGGTCATCAACAGACTATGATCAATCCTTCCTGTAATCTGTGACAAAGGTCCATAGACAGTTCCCAGTTCCATCGAGAGCGCAAACATATGGAGTATGCTAAGGCATGTGTAGTAGAGGAACCTGGAATACATCCAAACTGGTCTGATCGCCTTCCTGTAATCTGTGACAAAGGTCCATCGAGAGTGCAAACATGGAGAATGTGCTAAGGCATGCGTAGTAGAGGAACCTGCGATACATCCAAACTGGCTTGGGCATAGCGTTCTTAGACCAACTGGCTTCACATGCTCTTGAACAACAAAATGTTCAGCGATTTTTGTTAAAGGAGGGTAAGGGAAGTAGGTCTAAGATCTTTCCCTTAATTCTCTATGTTGTTAACTTTGGCAAGAGAAGTGACGTTAGCGCATTTCCATATGAAGTTTAATAGACAAACAACTTACAGTCTAGGTTACATGTAAAGTAAAAATACTACGTTTTACCCATCTGTAAAATATTTTCCATTTACGGCCATACGCTTTTGTCCATAATTGATTTCAAAATGTGTGCTTGTTTGAAAGTGGATTTCTCGTTCATAAGTTCCTCTTGAGAAGCCTCTCTTATGAAATAAAAATTACTACAGCCAGGAGACTGGGTTCACTACATGGTTGCAATTGAGCGGTTGACTATTCTGAATCTTGCTGCCTTGAAAAATCCACTGGCGGGTCATGAGAGAACTCACATGTCTTCCTCTTCGCACATCATACTTAAATGAAGCCTGACACCCAGGAAAACCGCATGGGAATCTGCTACCCACTGTTGGTTCCTGCTTATCTGTTTCATCTTGACTTTCTTGATTGGTCAAGATATCGTCAAGAAGCCTTCTGACAGAATCATAATTGAACACAACTTTGTCCACAATTAATGAGGCAGCATTGTTTAAATACTACAATCTTTGCCCTCTGGATTGCTTGGCAATGTCTACAGGAAGTGGGAACTTGGTTGGTTGTCTTCGTTTGTCTGTAAACCCCAATACTGAAATTGCAGCGGCAATCACTCCTGACTTAAGGTTGATGAGCAGACTTTCCTGATCAACAGGGTATGCTGTGTGTGGATCAGACTTGTTATCTTTTAGGGTGCGGTCGAAATATAGTGTACAGCTGTCACTCTCTGATTTGCCAGATAAGAACTTCTTA